AGCTTAGCTTGCTACATTTCACTGGGGGATAGCTTCTGTGTAGTGAAGCTTAATTTAATGTAGAGTAGCTGGTAGCTTAGCTCACTACATTTTCCAAGTAGCTTGCCCAACACTGATTGTTCATATTTTACAGTAAATACAAGTGCCTGTTCGTCATTTCCCCTTTGATCTGATTCTGTTTACTTGGGTCTGCTTCTGCATTCAGCACCTGCATGAGCAACATGTTTGACCACACTCTTAACTTAATTAATTAATGTCTTTTCCCAACTAGTGGTCAAACTTGATAATATCTGCTGTTGTGAGGCTGTGAGAGCCATCATAAAGCATGAGAGCCAAAGCTGAATTCTTTCTTTCAAGCAGTGACATGTATAAAAAAAAAAATGCTGTGATGCTGTTTGGTTGGCTTATGGTTATCTTCCTTTCTATATGCTTTATGAAAATATAGAGTTGGAACAGAGAGATGTATAGATACGCAGGAAAACCAGGTCTATGCTTACACACAGGAGTGGCTGGGATTTTTTTGATGGAACTAGGCAAAAGAAAAGGACCAGACTTTAGTGAGACTAACCTGAAACACCAATCCCAAATTGTTGTAATGATCATCATTAAATTAATAATATACACATATTTTAAACAACAGAATAATGCTGCAGCTGAGTATAATTCTGCCATCTGGCAGCTGCTGCTCATGTTCTCATCTCTGAATACTTTGGAAATGACCACAGCTTTTCCCACTAATGCAGAGGATTTTCACAATTCTTACTGTATATCAGCATGGGAAACAAAACCAAAGACGAATCATTTGATCCAGAAGTTAGAACAGACAACACATTTAGTCACATTTGATTGCAAGTCTCAAACAATGAATTGTATTTGTAGTGAAGATAATGTGCCCTTTGGAGAGTAGCCCGGCCCCTGGGTGCAGTAACCAGCCAGGCCCTGCACTCTTTCACTCGGCAGGGACAGATTCCAGTTACTGAGCCTAGGGGACAGAGACAAAGATGGCCTCTGACACCTTGGTGCCTGAGGAGGGAAATTGTTGTTTTAAGTGAAACGGTTATGCACAGGTATACTGAAAATGCAAGAAAATTATGTATGCAAACCTGAAGTTGTCCAGCTTCTCCTCTGATAGCTGAGGCGTGGAAGTCCTCTGCAATCTAGTCAGGCCGATGAATGAACTGAAAAGTAACACCTGGGCTATACATTACCCTCCAACCTATCCTCTATCAAGCTTGGCTCCACCAAAATTACATATTAACCCAAGAAGTTAGTCACTTCTCATCCACTATCACACTTGTGATGCCCTGCAGTCCCCTGGGTCCCATTAAACCCAAATTCAACAGTAAATCCACTTGAATAACCTTTGTGTGCCTCCTCAGAACAATTTTATCATTCAGTGAGCTGCATAACATCCATTATTTTCTGTTTTGTCATGCGGCAAGGGTGCTTCATTTGGATGAGACCCACAGCAGTTACAGATTGCATCCAAATTATTGCGTGCATGCTTTATCAGAGTTTCTCTCATTTATTCTCCTCATATTAATCTTAAAAGGACTTTGTCTTGTTACCAGTGGCCCAACCCCCCCCCACCACCACACACACACACACACACACACACACACACACACACACACATCGAGTGTCAGGGATGAACATGGCGACCTGTTGTGGGAAGCAGTCAGCTGCCTGACCTTGTGGATGTCAGTGAATGTTGGATAAAACGAAAAAAAAACAGCAGTCAGCCTAAAGCCAGATGGTTACTTTCCCAACATGAAAGAAAATATCACACTGTGGAAATTCAGTATTTAATGTCTGCTCGCGCTACAAATTGATCAGTTTGGTGAGATCTATTTGATTTGTCAACAGAAGATGGTAGTCTGTTTGTTAAATAAGGGCAAGGAATACACAATAGAATAGTACCTGCACACTGAATCAGAACTTCCTTATGCTTTATAGGCAATGTTTTAATCATTAATTATTTCTGAGTATTTCACAATCTGCTCAGTTACTGGGATTTTCACGCACAACCATTTCTAGGGTTTACAAAGAATGGTGTGAAAAGGGAAAAACATCCAGTATGCGGCAGTCCTGTGGGCGAAAATGCCTTGTTGATGCTAGAGGTCAGAGGAGAATGGGCTGACTGATTCAAGCTGATAGAAGAGCAACTTTGACTGAAATAACCACTCGTTACAACCAAGGTATGCAGCAAAGCATTTGTGAAGCCACAACACGCACAACCTTGAGGCGGATGGGCTACAACAGCAGAAGAACCCTCCGGGTACCACTCATCTCCACTAAAAATAGGAAAAAGAGGCTACAATTTGCAAGAGCTCACCAAAATTGGACAGAAAAATGTTGCCTGGTCTGATGAGTCTCGATTTCTGTTGAGACATTCAGATGGTAGAGTCAGAATTTGGCGTAAACAGAATGAGAACATGGATCCATCATGCCTTGTTACCACTGTGCAGGCTGGTGGTGGTGGTGTAATGGTGTGGGGGATGTTTTCTTGGCACACTTTAGGCCCCTTAGTGCCAATTGGGCATCGTTTAAATGCCACGGCCTACCTGAGCATTGTTTCTGACCATGTCCATCCCTTTATGGCCACCATGTACCCATCCTCTGATGGCTACTTCCAGCAGGATAATGCACCATGTCACAAAGCTCGAATCATTTCAAATTGGTTTCTTGAACATGACAATGAGTTCACTGTACTAAAATGGCCCCCACAGTCACCAGATCTCAACCCGATAGAGCATCTTTGGGATGTGGTGGAACGGGAGCTTTGTGCCCTGGATGTGCATCCCACAAATCTCCATCAACTGCAAGATGCTATCCTATCAATATGGGCCAACATTTCTAAAGAATGCTTTCAGCACCTTGTTGAATCAATGCCACGTAGAATTAAGGCAGTTCTGAAGGCGAAAGGGGGTCAAACACAGTATTAGTATGGTGTTCCTAATAATCCTTTAGGTGAGTGTATATGTATGTATGAACTGTTGGGTGCCATAGATTATCTGAACACTAGAGGGCAACAAGTGCTGTAATAAAAATGCAGTGTTACCTATTCCTAACTACACTCCACAGTATGTACTGTACACTAAAAAGCAGGTTAGCTACACAAGTAAATTAAGGAAACATCATAACAAATAATTGTCTGTTGAGTGGCACTGAGACTGCTGAGGTTGACTTACGGGAAAGGTTGTAAAAGTATTCTGATTCTGTGGAAATACAAGGAAAATGTTGAAAGAAATCTGATAAGATCACAGAACAGAAACATTATGTGCAAAATATTATGTTAGAGATTTCTATCATTGTACCTGTTTACACAAATATATAATTTAACTGATAAAACAAATAGATTATGTTATTTCTTTTAACAAGAAGCATGCAAAGTTAATGATGAAAGCTCACTCTGACAATTCTCTATTAGAATGTTTCATCTTTTGAAGTTTTATGGTGACTTGGTGAGGAGTCTTCCGCTTTACCCTTAATAACACACTGTTAGCTGAGGTAGACACTTTCTTCATGTCATTGTATCCACTTAATTTTTGTTAATAAATCATCTTTAAATTATTTACAATACCACAGCTAATTGTGCTTTCAACAGTAAGCTTTATTTGAAATAGGCTATAAAATGAAACACAGCTGATATCCAGCAGCTGGTTAGACACTGTGTTTTTTTAAATTCCATATTATGCCTTTAATAACAATAACCCAAGATATTGTCCTTGGGTCAGACTTGTCTTGGCCTGCACATCAGTACATAAATTGACAAAAGGTTTTTGAAAAATAAACTGTGTTTTTATTTATGTGGACACTAATTTTCACTACCTGAAGACATGTAAAATATCACCTGTGAAATACTGAGGTGAGGTACATTATGAACATAAAAATTCCATTAGACAGTATAGTATGCTGTGTAAATACATTCTTGCATAAATGTTTGTTGCACCCATAAATGGCAACAAAAATGCAGTTATAGAAATATTGTTTTGCAGTTATGATACGTTATAATTTAAACTCTCAAAACTGGCAAGGAGCTGTGGCATTAAAAAACCTGACACACTAATTTCTTCGGTATTAAACCATTTAAAGAATACTGGATTTAGACATAATAATAAAGGCTTTGTTGTCTGAGCTAACTGACAAGAGCTGAGGCAAAGAGTAAATAATTAAACACAAAAACATAAAACAGAATTCAATAAAAACTGTAACTTCTCCACAACATGAAGTGGACCAGTGCCGACTGAATCAACAGGCAAGAGATCTGGCAAATAGTAAAACACCTACAACACATTTCCAAAGAACAAGTAATTGTTCCTGAACACAATATCTGGAAATGAATCTCTGCTGACTAAAGCAGATGGCAAATGTTGTAGCAAAAAGTAAACAACCAACCACAAAACTGCCATAAACATTGATACTTTCTCCATAATGTAACACTTCCAGTTAACATGAAATCTTGGAATAGATCATGTAAATTCAAGCAATTGTATTTATAACTACTACATAATATGTAAAATCTTCACTAATGTTTTAGCAGTGGCATATTGTGAGACTCACTGTGTTATTTTTAATCAGATACCCTGAAAAATGAGAGATGGGGAGTGCAACAATAAAACATCTGTCAGACGTGCTCTTTGAGAGCAATGAGGTGCAGGTTTTATGGCCTTTTTAGGCCTCCATCACTGTAAGAACTGGATTTCTGGCAAACAGGGTGGTGAGCAGAGAGTCTGGCTTCTTAACTTGTCTTGATTTCCACCTACAATAGAAGCACAGTTTGGAGTGAGCTTACCTTCTGATTTCTTTGTACATCTAGTGTGTGCATCCTATATGTGTTACATGTGTTTTTACTCACACTGTGAGCACTGCCCACGCACACAGCGACAGCACCAGTACGGCAATGATGGCGACAGCGATATATACATAGACAGGTACCATGTCCCATTCTAGTTCAGGTGCGACTTCTTTCTTTTCTGAAACAAAAGTTAATACAAACACATGAGGTAGGATTTGCTTACAGTTTGTTTACATATCCATATCATCTATCCTAATAATTAATCTTACAAAGACATGTTAACTACAATCTACATAAATAATGTCCAAACAAAGCAGAAATGATTTCAACACATTTTTGTTATGTTAGTGCTGTATTACAGCATTTTTTGTTTGACATCTTTAGAGGGTAGACTGATGACTTTCACATCCTCTTTCTTTGAGCCCTCTTTCAGCATCCAAAGTTGAAGGGGACTAAGCAGATATACAGATATACAGTATAAATTGTTCACCTGGACATGGATGTACAAATGTCGATGTGGGTGTTTTAAAAGCAGAAATATTTGCAGACTGCACTGCAGATTAAAGGGAGAGTAAGTGTTTCTGCAGAAGGATTGTTGATATTTGAACTCAACTAACAAACACACCCCTCCCTTCAGTCCTCCTTCAGAAGCCCCGTCCCCCAAATTTTAAATCTCTGAGGTTTCTCCAGCGTTGAAACGCCTTCACTCTTGCCTGGTCATATAACTTTGTTTACTGTTTATACTCTTCAGGCCTTTTCCTCTTTGGCTGTCCAGCATGCTTAAGTGTGTCTGTGTATAGAACTCTCTCTCCCATGGCCCCCTCCACCCCATCCCTCCTGTACACAAGCACTAATGCCACCTGTTGCTGACTGGCTGGAACAATGTTGTGGGGAAGGTCCACACCACTTTCTTTGTTTACCATTTACAGAGGCAGTGCAGGGTGGGAAAACCAGATGTTTTTTCAGAGCACACACAAAACGGAGAGCTAGTAAACCATGAGGAAATATTCACTGAATTTAACCAAAAAGATTACATTAGTACATTTTATTATGCTTTGTTTAGCTAAGATTCCATTTTACAAGAGACTTGAGAATAAATTACATTTATTCAACATTACACATTCACACACACATAGACACAAGCTAAAAAATCAACAAGATGAACATTAAAGTCCCTGAGTGTGGGTGTTGATTGTTTCTAACTTCACTTTTCACCTAACTCATGAAAAAGTGTGATAGCAGTCTTGAGTAGAATTAGGTTGATTTATAGCCTAATTAAACATCAAATACTGATCGTTGTGTAGTTCTCTTGCTCCAGCATTGGTTGCAGGTTATCTCTACATTGTGTCAATAGCGTTGTTATAGCCACAAAGTAGCACTTGTGCTCTTTTCCCCTTTTTGTTTGGTTTGTGGACAGGGATCTGACAGATGTGACACTGTTGCATATCCATAGTTGTTAGCGTTGTGTTTTGATTTTCACGTGTTAATATTCATTGACACTGAATGTACCGGTAGCCCCTCCAACACACACACACACACACACACACACAAATTTCATTCATTCTCATCTGATCACCCTAATTATAATAAATCAATTGACATCCAGTGGTAGTGGAAGTGTGATGCTCACAAGAGTGTGATCACATTTGTAGTATTTGATTTTATGGTGTAAAATCATCTAAGATGATATCTGTATTTTATTTCCTTTATTTGAAGAGGATTTTATGTGCAGAAAAATAAGTAAAATGGCTTAAAAGTGTGAATGGTTGGCCTGCTGTAGCAGCCTACCGGCAGTGTGAGACTGCTTTACCTTCGGGGACCATGATCAAGAGCGCATGGCCACGTCCCTCTGTCTCAACATTTTTCCTGTATTTCGGTAATGTGTTAAAACATCACATAAATTGCTGTAGTTTGTTAGCTAAGGCTGAGAGATAAGTTGAGTGCAAGTACAAAAGTAAAATGACCAGGTTTTGGAGATATGGTTAATGAGCATGTAAGATGCTAGCTTGGGCCACACGTCTTCACTATTTTGGGTTAGAGTAATACTGGCTAGCTCCATAAACTATGTAGCATGTTGTAATATTCTGAAATTGTGTTATTTGTAAAACTGTATTGAAAATGCTTTAATTGTACACATATTTATATGTTTAGTGATGAATACAGTTATACTGTCAGCGAGTCATATCTCACGTCTGTTGCACTGCAGTAACAGCCAAAAGTATTTGGACAGATGAATGTATGAATGGAAATGGAGGATGTAAAATGAGTATATTTTTGGGTTTCAAATTTTATTGTATGTTATGTTAAGGACATGAACAATGTGTCAAGGAAGAGAAGACATGTACAGTACTGACAAATACTGGTAAATTGAAACAAAGACGATTCTGATGGTATAAAGGAAATGTACATTAATAAATAACTGCAGAGATTTCAGCAAAGAAACAGCACGTCTCTGTCTCACCATTTTTCCTGTATTTCAGGACACATATAGCTGCCTATGGGTTCCGCAGCTCGGTACAGCCGCACAAACATACAGGATATCTCCATAAGTCAGTGGAGATAGTATAGTGGATTGTACTGTATATATTTTTTTCTGTTTTGAAAGGAGAACAAGCTTTGTTCTGGTATAAGAATACAATTTGAATTTTATTTATTGTTGAGGGATGTTTTTAACAAGGGTTTTGTTGGATTTGCTCTGCTTTCATTATTTGTAGGTGGTGGGTAGAGAGGATGGTTAGATGATTAGGCGACCCTCACCCAGGTGACTGGAGTTCGGTTGCCTTGTGAAACAAAAACCGAATATCAGTTTTTGTTTTTTATAGTATTATTAGCGTTAGCTAACTACTGTTAGCAAAGATTTTTGGATTTTTTGTGTTTTGTAGTGTTTATTTTTAGCCTTTTAGGTAGTGTTTTGTAGCATTTCATGTAGCCTTAGCTAGATAGCGTTAGCATTTTTTGTTAGGGCTAGCGTTAGCAACTAGCGTTAGCAACCTCCCCTTCCAAAGGTTTTTAGGCAGTTCAATCATTCTATTGGCCCCTTTTTTCTCACACAAATTAAGGAGCTGTGCCCTGCAGTCCTTGCTGTGGATAACCCCCACTCTATACCTGAAAAGTGTAGACACAAGGATACTGATAAGACATCCAGATAGTATGATCTACCAGTGGTGCAATAAAGACATGATTATCTCCTGTGCTATTAAAGTGCCGCAGTCAGTGTTACCTCAATTAACTTCAGTAACTGTACCGTTCAGGTTGTATTTCTACACTTTTGTAAACTAAACATTCAAAGAATACTTCTACCTTGACGGTTGTTGAAAAGTTACATCCCTCTCATAAGAGCCATTTGTGCTTGTTATGGTACATCTGTGAATAATGTACATTCAACATAAACTTAAATAATAAAGATTTTTAAACTAGATTTACATAGAGAGAGAGTCTACAAGACTCCTTAGAAGAAGCATTAGGGTGCTTATCAATTTGGTTGATGTTGTCTGTAATATGTACAAACAGAGACTTGAAATCAATCAAATTACCCCAAATAAACTGACAGAAAGTGCAATTGGAACAGCCTTCTATTATTATTATTATCACATCTCCAAATTGTTCAGGATGTTGCCAGTACTTTCTGAAGCCTAAATTCAAGATGAAGCTTAATCCTTCCCTCCAAAGGACCAGACCATGGAAACATCTGTGACTGTTAAAAAAAAGGACAAATTAGAAATTTAGTACATATAGTGATTTTGGTTTGTTTGAAACAGACAATGATGTTTTAATGCTGTCTAATATGCTGTCTCATTCTAATGTAACACATTAGAATAAGATGTCCACAAAACAGCATTTATTGTCAGATTATATGTATTTTCTATCGCTCTCAGTAAAAATCTTAATGGATTATTACATAAAAACCTACAAAACCCTCTTTAGCTCTAAAAATGGTATGGAAGAAATTAAACTCAAATTAAAATTGACATGACCGTGAAAACATGAAAACATGCAATTTATGTTTTGCAATATCATAAAGTAATATGAAAATTAAACCTACTATTTGATGACAACATCGGCGTCTTCCAGAGTTAACGTGACTCACAAGGACTTGTTGATGTGGCTTTGAACAAAAAAGTTGCTTTACAGCTTAGTCACCTACTTGGAACACACTGAATAGATCCTTCAGGAATGCAGTATTAAATACAAATCTCCCAGAAATTTAAATGCATGATTTCATAAACACTCAAATCAAGGCCTTTTCTATTTCTGTGACACATTTAAAGGGTGTAGGGTGTTTTAGCAGGTTGCTTAAATGGTTATAGTCGGTTTGCTCCTCACACAACTTAGTTTTAAGTGATAATTTAAATCTTTTCTAAGAGTGTGCATCATTTTGTAACAGAGATGGCATTCGCCCCTGTCCAAAGGGCACCTGTGCCCTAGCTCCAAACATTGTTCACGCTGTCTCCACAGCCATGCACACGTTACGATTCATTCCTGCAGAAGGGCTGCAACTAATGATTATTTTCATTGTTGATTAATCTGTCGGTTATTTTCTCATGAAAATGGTGAAAAATGTCAATCTGTATTTTTCAAAGCATAAGAAGATGTCTTCAAAATGTCTTGTTTTGTCTACATGCCAAAAAGATTCAGAATACTGTCATGTAGGAGCAAAGAAACCAGAAAATATTCACATTTAAGAAGCCGAAATTTATAGAAATATTATCAAACTAGTTAGCGATTAATTTAACAGTTGACAACGAATTGATTAATCGATTAATCTTTGCAGCTCCATCCCGCAGCACACCTGGACACAACACCAGTCACTGAACAGAACTCTTCCTCACTGCCATTAACATTCTCCATCTGGCAAGAGATTTGGCAAGTACTCGACCATTACACAAAACAAATGCCCTTTAAGCTCTTTCTATTGGTCATCCAAAAGGAGGTTGTTTGAAGAGTGGAGGCAGGAATGTTGAAGACCAACTTCATCACTAGATGAATTATCATTTATGAAAAGTTTTGATCTGGTTTCCAGATGTTTCACAGCACTGAGACTGCCCTGTTCAAGGTCACCAACCTGCAGCTGATGGTGGCATGTACTAAGTCCTTGCACTCCTAGACCGTAGCTCCGCATTTGATACAACGTATCACAGCATAATGTTAGACAGACTGAGGCACTGGTTGGGGTATCGGGTACATTCTTAGAACAGTTACCTGTCTCTGTGAACAACTGTGTCTCTTAATTTTCTTCTGTAAAGTAAGGGGTCTTTATATGTCCTTACCCCTGGGCACATTATACATAGACATGGTCTCTCTTTACATTTTTATGTTGATGATAATTGCCCGTAACTTAATGAGTTCACTTAATGACTGCAACACTGAGATCCTGGTCATTGGGTCCCAGCACATGGCAAAACAAATTCTGCCATCTGCTGGTTCCCTACTGGAACACATTAAGACTCTTGTAAGATATCTTGTCATCTGGTTTGACAGTAATTAAAGTTATGGGCAGCACACCACAAAGCTTGAGCAATCATGTTTTTATCATCTTAGAAATATATCAGAAAAATAATCTTACTTTTAAAGACACAGAGACCATTTCACACTCCTTCATTTTATCACACGTGGATTATTGCAACAGCTGCTTTACTTGCCTGAACCAAAAATCTGTTGATCAACTCCATACTGAACAGAACTCTGCTGCCAGGTTTTTAACCAGAACACAGAAACGTGAACACATCACTGTTGTTTTAGCTTCTTTACGTTGGCTCCCAGTATGTTTTAGAATAGATTGTAAGATTTTACTGATTATTTTTAAGGTTCATGACCTCTCTCCTTGCTATATCTTAGTGCTGTATGCGTCAGCACATACTTCTTCTCTTTTGTGTGTTCCAGACGTCCTGGAAAATCTTGCCTGAGGCAATCAGGCTGGCTGAGTCAGTGATCTCCTTTAAGTACCTTCTTAAAACATACTTTTATTGGAGAGCCTGATCCTGATTTTAGTTAATTTTCAATTATCTTATTTTTGTTTTCAAGATGGTTTTATGACTTGTGTGTTTTGTTTTGTTGTCTTTTTGAAGCACTCTGTAACGTGAACTTTAAAAAGTACTGTATTTGTAAAGGCTAGTATTACATGGTGACAAGTTAATACTGGTGATTTTAGTGCAATACTGTGGTAAAAGGAAACATTATTACCTGGGCGGCATGTCGGAGGACTCCACTCACTCCAAAAACTTTTATCGGCACAATATTTATGCAGTTTGGACCGAACCCTGAAGCAATGTCTCTCATTGTCACCGATGGAAGACAAAGTTAGGCTGGTCTGTTTGGTTAAAATCGGCTCCTGTAAATAATAAAAATAAGTAGGGAAATTATCTAAATATAATAAAAATTAGAGAGTTAGCACTGCATTATAGCTGCATTAATTAACATTTTTTCTATGTCAGCAGCATCTCCCTATACTTGACATTGATTGGCTTATTAAACAGCAGGTATCTTTGACAAGAATGAATGAATAAGAAATGAACATATGCATATTTGCCACTATATTGTTATTATTATGGCATTACTACCTGCAGCACCAACTATACTGAAGGCTAGTCGCAATTAAACGTCTTCGTTGCACAAACAGGACAGGAGAAGACCCCAAGCAATCCTTCTGCACCTCCGTTTGAGGAGTGACCAAAGAGATGGATGGCAGAGTGCTTCTATAATGTCCCTCTGTTTGAAAAGATGCTGTCACGGGAGATTTATAATTGTGTCCTTATGTCAATGCATTTCTCCGTGCATTTGTTTGTTTCCGGTTTATACGGCAAACACCGAACTTCCTGTAAATATTCTGAAACTCCGAACCATCCAAAAAATGCTTTCACACCAGAAAAGAACCGAACCATGGTTCAGTTTGATCTGGACCGAGACCAAATTTCGTCTGTTTGGTCCGGACAGTGGTCTGTGGGAGGTTTCACACCTGCAATTTTGAAAACTGAAAAGTCTGAATGTCCGGACTAAACAAGGTAGGTGTGAAAGCCCCTTCTGGTTCATTGTTTTGGTTAAATGGTACATAGTGCATTAGGTTCAGTCCCACCACTATCATCAACTGCGTTAGGCAGCAGTTTTTAGCTCTGAGAAATCTGCTATACACTACCTGCCAAGCATTAACCCAGATAGATTTCTCAGGAGTCAGTGGATAAATCTGAGCTAAAAGGTCACTGAATATTGGACTGTTATCTGGTGACCACAAACACAGTGATCATGTTCCTCAATGTGTGTTAAATGCTTACAATGTGTTAAGAAAAAGAAAGAGGTTGTTGATAGCATGTCATTATATTTTTTGTCTTAAGCCTCATAATTTTTATACAACTGGGTTTGTTAAAACCTACCAATGCAATTTTTCCATCAGGTCCCTCTTGATTGTGTTCCACCTCCCATTCTAGGCAGTGTCCAGGAACACTGCCAACAGGATTGTCCCAGTGTAGTTCCAGCTGCGTGTCTGGACCTGTTTGCAGATGCAGCTTCTCTGTAGTGTCAGGCTTCACTGCATAAACATTAAAACAAGGAAGAGCAGATTACAGATTGTGACAGGAGGCTGAGAGGAACAGTAAGCAAATATTGGTGAGATAACAATGGAGCAAGAAAAGACCCCAAACATTGGGTCCAAACGTGAGGGCAATAATCACTTCTCCTCACTGAGTTTGCATGTTATGGCTGTACTCCTCCAGAAGGTGAACATTCATATACCGTGGTTTTGGATTTGCAGGGAGATGTATGTTGGTTTCAGGGGCCCTTCGGGAGAGGAACCATTTACACAGAAGCTGATATCAGTGAAATCGGGGAAAGACATCCCTGTGAAGTTGCAGCCACTCCTGACTCCACTCGATAACACGTATTTCGGACATTCTTCTGCCTGTTCCATTTTCTTGTGCCTTGGGAAGATAAAGACCAGACACAGCTTAGATGGATGCTATCTGTTCTTCCAGTTTTGTTGAAAGCTGGTGAGTTTTGACGATGTTTACTTTAAGTTTATCATCAATTTAATTATTCAGGTGCCAGTGGCCTTTGCACTCAGTAGCATTTAAACTTTATATTAGAATCAACGTTATAGTGGCGTTTGACGAGAAGATCATGGATCACAAGTCGTTAGGATTTATCTTCTGAGGACCATGAAAGTCTGTACAAAATTTCAAGGGAATCCATCCATGGTAAGATCTCAGATAATTTGTTCTGGACCAAAGTGGTGAACTGAACTGACCTCTGCTGGCATGGCTAATAACAGTTTGATGGGCATATGACATACCAGAAATATAGACTTTGCTGTGAGTTGGCAGGGGTCTCTGGGCCTTTTCCCCAACTGCACTCCATGTACTTCATGTTATGATACACACAGACAAAATCCTGGACTGCGGTACCCACAACACCTATATGTGGAAAGGTGAATAAAACCAATCAATGTCATTTCATACATTTTTCCAAAGATCTCACTTTGATGTTTTTACTGTCATGTGTAACCTTCACGACTGACCTGTGCTGGGAGGTTTCTGGATCAGTTCGGTGTATCTTGCGCTCTTGGTCATAGTGCCGTTGGTGCAGGGTCCACTCAGCAAGGTGTACACTCTCACCCTAACATCTTTCATCAGATCAAATTGGACACTGTACGTCCTCCTATTCATCCTGACAGCCTGCCAATCCAGAAACACATGGACCATGTCATTCAGATTATATGATTTCCGGGAGACTAAGTGTTCTGGGAAAACTGACACAGTGCTTTCTTGCATGCTTGTATTCAAGGAGTATTATTATTGTTGTCAGTCAGTTGGGGGGTTTTTTAAACAAAATTTGACACTTCAGCCTTTAACTGGTGCCCTGAAGCATTCAAGCATCAGGCTGAAACTGTCGTGAGCAAATGTTAATATCCTGCCCAATAATAATACACAATTAGATGGTCTGGGTTCTGAAAAAATAATGTTCAGTAAGTCCAGGTCAAGCCTGATAGCTGCTTATTCGTTTCATATTTCTCTTTAAACATCTACAAATTGGTTGAAAGTGGTTGGACTGTATAAGGGTGTGAAAGAGTTCCATTTTTCATAGTCATAATTATCACTATAGTCACAGCCATTGCCATGAAATCAGACGTGGTCACTATGTCATCACTGACTGACTCCATATTGTGCCAAACTCCAGCATCCCTTAGAACATTACAATGGCTGTATTATTCTTTTAATCTTGTTTATTCATCCTTGTGTGGGCAGAAATAAGACCGACCTGGGAATTTTGTGGTCACTCCATTACTGATCAAGCATTTCCCGGTGTAATGACAGTATAGATCTATGGATCTGCCATCTGGCCTTTTCAACATTATTAAGATTATTAAGATTTTAATAAAATGGTAAGCACTTACATTCCAACTGTCACTGTATGTGTTGAAGTACTCCAGTTGATACAGTTTTGGGCACTCTGTCATATTAATCAAGCTGGCTGGGGGGCTCCATGTAATCTCCAATTGTCCAAGATGTCCGGGGTCTAGTATCACAAGGTCCTCAGGAGGATCCACTGCAAGTGAAACGGATATTTATTTAGCCCTTCTAGCATGAATGTTAATGTTCAGTCTTCTCTCACCAGGTGATTAACAACACAGAGTGCAACATCTCAAAATTATGTCACACCTCATTACTTGGAGACGTATGAAAAAAGTCGCACCCATTCTGGCAACAATTAAATTACAACAAAATAAATTTTATTTTATGTTGTCTGGTTTCCACGTTAGGCTGCTATAAGGATTTCGGTTTGTCCAGGGTTAAGATGATCCGAGAAGAAACAAGTAAAGAGTAGCCGGCGAACCTGTAAATCCATTGCAATGCACGCTCTCCCTCCAGGTCATTAAGAGCAGCATCAATGTCGCTTGTTGAGCCAGCCAAGATTTTATCGCCATCAGTTAATACACGCGTAGAACAAAGACTGAAAAAACAAAACACAAATACTTAAGAAAACTGAATTAAATAGCCTATGTGTTAATTTTCAGAACTGAGCTCACTTCAAAAGTCTATTATATACTATTATTAATGAGATACAGATTTTCAGAATTACTTTGCCCTATGATACAAAACAAAAACATCATATTAAATGAAATATAACTAGATAAATAGAAGCTGTTAGACGAATGTACTTACGTGAATGTGAGTGAGCGTTTCCTTCTGAGGGAGGCTCAGGCGAGTTTATGAGACTGACGCAGCGGGGTGTGTGTGTGTGTGTGTGTGTGTTTGTGTGTGTTTATGCGGTGGGGGATGGCAATAACGCAGGCTTTAAAAGTGTCTCAGTTGTGTTTTTTTTCCGGAACCGTATGATTCTAGTGAAGAAAACGATTTGTGTGACTTTACACTTTTCATTTCGTGTTGGCTCTTGCCCTAACAAGACGATGTGGTTGTGCTAAAAGATTCGGCCGAAATTCTCGCTTCATGAATCAGGAAACATTGAAACGACTACATACTGTGCAGAAGTCAGCTGATAGGCTTTTAACAAAAAAACCACAGAGGTATGATCAGATCACACCTGTTTGTGCCTCTTTACATTGAATCCCTGTTTGTTTTAAGGTCTTTTGATTAGGGGAGACCGGGGATGGTTAACACTGGTTGTAACACGTCCAATTTCTCCAATCAGGAACAAGTTAGGAATCACTTTATTCACTCTGCACATGCTCAGTTTAGTTCTTATCCCACATGGGGAGAAGTAGCACCCTGCGGCAGCACAATCAATTCAGAAGGTAAAAAATAATTTTGACTTAAGAAAATATTTTTCTTCATTTTATTTATTTTTATTATAGCATTGCCGGTTTTGTAGTTACTCATCAAACTTAAATCATGTTTATATATTATTTCAATATCATGTTTTATCATATTCTTTATTACATAATGTTACATTTCACCCCAGGGTATGTTACAATTCAACCAGAGTATGGGGTGAATTGTTAAGTTTTACTCCTTGTGTTTGAGACTAAACCATGCATATTCTGAGATACCAGTTACACCATTTAATAGCAGACACATGTTACTAGTATGTATCACAACACACTGACTTAAAAGAGCTCCAAGATTCAGACAGAAATGTCAAGTATGTTACAACCATCCCCGGTCCCCTACTTTTAAGTCTCTTCATGACCTGGCTCAAGAAATTATTTTCCCTTATTTAAGTAAATACAACGTATTGAATTGATTGACTTTAAATGTTTGAAGGACATGTTAGATTTTAAGCAAACTTTACATTATTTATTATTACAAAAAAGCTTGATAAACAAATCTTTAAAATGATTAACTTCCAAAAACAGTGATAAAATCAGTTGTCAGTGAGATTTGTCAGACTGAGTTGATGAAATCCTGTACCACCGCAGCAGTCTGTTTGGATCAAGGTATTTGCCTTCAAGCAGTTGTCAGCTGGAGACAAATACATCATCTTCACTAGAAATAAAAAGAAATGAAAAAAGATGTACAAACTTAAGCGTGGTAAATGCTTTTGTTTGTTTCTGTTGACAGCCTGGATTATGATTGACAGATGAGATCAGCACTGATGTTTATCATTTTGTCAAACATTTGTGGGTAGATTTCTGGTGATAACTACATAATAATTGATCTGCATATTACCTTTTGTATGAACAGTCTAAAAATAACTAGTAACGAAAGCTGCCAGATAAAGGTAATGAAGTATAAATTACAATTTGGAATTACTAAAGTAAAGCAAAGTAAAGTAAGTCTCTCAGAAATGTACTTAAGTATGGGGTGGTGATGGTGCAGTGGATAAGACTTTGCCTTTGGTGTGAGATACCCAGGTTCAACTCCACACTGTGACACATCCATCAATGTGTCCCTGAGAAAGACACTTAACCCCTTTTTGCTCCAGTGGTGTGCGACCTCTGAAATAGCAATTGTAAGTTGCTTTGGATAAAAGTGTCAGATACAGCGTCAAGGTAGCGTTTAAACATGCAAGGTCAGTATGAGGGTTAGGCCTTCAAAATCATTTTCACCTATTCCCGCAATTTTATTTGGAAAAGCTGTCTCAAAATCAGGCATGTTAGGACACAACAATCACAAAAAGGGTCCATGAAATCCTGGAGGGACTGCAATATGTACACAGAGCCTGAACCAACTGCGTGCATGGGAAGCCATTGAGGCGTAATGTCTTTGTTGCTGCTATAACTGGTTGTCATTTTGACATGTAGACTTTTCCCATGACAACAGTGGGATTTTTCTGATTTGAGGGGAAATTAAGGAAATGCAGCAAGCAAGAGTGATATGGCACAAAAGCTTGTTTCACTGACCTCTTGTGGTTTTGACGATTTAAATATGTTCCATCAGCCAGTGTTATTTACATTATTTCACAATCATTTCAGGTTTTGCAATTGCTAAATTTTTGATATGACATTTTCTCAGGAATTTTAAATATGAATGTCACTGACTTACAAGAGGCATTAAAGGTGGAGTAAGGAATTCTGTAGAAATCCAACACCATGACAAATATTATGATATAGAGTGAACAAAAACACAACAAGTAATGTAACTAAAGCTGTCTAGGTTATGGGTTAGCATACTGACTTTACAGTTGCTGCTGCAAAGCTAACATGCAGAGTGGACGAAGCAGTTTCCCAGAGCCAGCACAGCAGCTCCAGATAGTGATACTAACAACTCTCCTGCTACTATAACTAACTAACATAACTAAAACAGCATGGCAAACTAGAAAGTGAGCTGAATGAACATGGGTTCCTACCTGTCTCAGTGTTTCTTGGAGTATTTCCTTTGTTTGGACTTCTGCTAGCGGTTCCATGTAAGCCAGAGTTTTCGGCACTGCTTAAAAAAATTGCATCTAGCTACAGTTTTCCTTTAGACATTAGTTAAACAAGCAAGCATACTGTAAGAATTGTAAGGCTTTAGTTCACAAAAAAAGTGACCCCCCCCACCAATTGTCATTGTATAATTTGCACCCTGAACATAGGTCTCAATTCAGATACTTCCATTTGCACACTTACATGTAGTATACTGTGTACACTATGTACTTATTTGTGTAGTGTGTGAATTTTGACAGGGTAATGTTGTCTGAAATCCAACACAGCCATTGTGCACTTCCTGAACTGCTTTCTTCTCTTCTTTTTTTAATGGCGAATTGTAACCAGGCTGATCAGAGACTCTCACTTACCAAAATATCTTGACTTGATTTAAATTTGAGTAAATTTGATTTAAAATGACTGAAAATAAACAATCACAACCACTGCAGCTTCCTCAGCCGCCATTTTCACATGCTTAAAAATAATTCGGTGGTCCATCCCCTTTCGGTATGTAGCCACGATGGCAACTATTGAGGGTGAGAAGTGTCCTGCGTTGCACACTCAACTTTTTGGCCGTAATGAGTAGACCATCTGGGTTCACTAGCAAATGACATAATTGGCACTCGTGCACTCAAAATAGCAAGTGAAAGTATGGAAGAGATGGAAGTAAATTGAAGCAACAGCAGTGGTACATATGGTTCAGAGGCAGATAAAACAGGAACAGGACAGGTTCATCCAAGAGGCACACATCAGGAAGAACCACAGAACCAGTCATGCAGGCATTAGGATCAGGAAAAGCAAACAGGACTGTTCAGAAAGACTGCCAGGAGGTTGGAGAGATTGGCCGATCCACTCGGAAATAAATCAACAGTTTGAGCTGCAGACACAAGTGAGATTGCTCGGGATGGCAGCTCAGAAGCTGGAGAGACTAGTAGACCAGGTTGGGAGGACGACCTTGTGGCAGGAGAGACAGGGATCAGATCAGGAGGGGAAGCACGGAAGCTGGAAACAAATAGGATTTCTTAGGGTAAAGACCACAGAAAACAGAATGAAGAGGAATCAACTGGTGCGGTAAGTTAGACAGACCTGAGCAGAGGCTAAGAGAAGGTAAGTCGAGAAACAGAGGTTCACTCTAAAAGAGAGGAACAAAGAGGAGGAGATAACAGACTTGGATTGAATACAGCTGGTAATAATCAGGAATCCGTGCCAAAATTATCTTCCTTTTCCCAGGACAAACACAGAAACCCAGGATGTTTGCAAGTACAGAGACAAGCTATCCAAACCTCATTAACACCACCTGGCAACTGGCTGAAGGTAAATACTAAAATCCAACCATAAAATATGGCCATATTACTGGACCAACTTTTCAGCTGCAGTGATTTATTCTTCTATTTTTTTTATCATGATAAAATGGTAGCTGACAGTTCAGGTGTCTGGCAAAAAAAAATAATTTAGAATAAGTGTGAACTAAGTGAAATGCGAAATCAAAAAAACCCCACACCAGCCTCATCCCCAAATCAGAGTGCAGGACGGCGACCAGCATCGATTGCATAAAATATCCCTAACCTTACAACAAAATGTCCAAGAACAAGGCTCCCATGCCTCAAACCACCACAATGGCTGTACACAGTAATTACCTCAAGTCAGCTTAATGCGTTCATACTTAAAAGACAGTGAAGAATTGTTTGTTAAGAACTATGGTCACATAATCCACAAACATGAAAGAATAAAATCAGAAAATACTATACAAATCACTTGAAAAATCACTATGATTACTTAGCTTCAGTCTTGTGTTGGTGAGAAATTATATTTTTCCTGGGAATAGGGTGATAGATTCCCAGGAAGAAGTAATTACAAGTTAAATACAAATTGAGCTCTGACAGACAGAAAAGACTTTGACAGAGGAATGGAAAAGACAACCTCAGGATCAACCTCAGGCAGGGCTCGAGCAGTAAAACAAATATGACACTTGAGATAAGCTCAACAGAGAAACAAAGACAAGTTAAGGCTGTGAGAAGCAGATTCAGAGAAGCAGAAACAGAAAAGTGCTCTGACTTGGAGACATGAACCAGTTCAGAATGGGAAACTGGAATAACACTGGGGAGGGGAACTGCAGACTGCAGGTGTTAACTGACACAAAGTGGCTTTTTACAGTTTTTCTCAGTTGCTTTGGTGCATTTCTCAGATCAGAATTGAAATTCTCAAAACTAATTGTTGAACCTCCATATCATCTCGTCACTTGTGCACATCATAAAAGCACTATTGTCTTCAGTGAGAATTGAGCACACAACCTTAAACCTATAAGGCCTATGCTCTACCAAGTGAGCTAACCAATGATACAACAAATCACACTATAGTTACCATTATGGTTATCTCGAAATCAGGAGAAACTGATGAGTAAAAAAATATTTGATCAGGGCTTCCGTATATATATATGAATGTATATATAGTTAGACATTCTATACATGTCTATTAGAATTTTTTTGTAAATGTGTCCTGAATTGATGAAGATATCTGTTGTGATATGGAAGAGAATCTGTGATACAACAGGCAACAGTCCTGTCTCTTTCTTTTCTTCTTACAATGACCTGCTCTGTCAAAAAAATTACAGTACGAACAGTAAAAGCATAGCTGTGATTCCTGTCC